AACTGCTAAATTTTACATAATGTTCTGGTGTTTATGCTAAAGCATAGCGTTTACCAACTTGCAATCCTTCAAGAATAAATTTACAACCGCAGCTTCTGACCAAAGTATCATTGTTAAAACGTTGCTGTTCTAACAATTCATGTTCATCATTCCTATCGCACATAATGTGTAAGTATTTTTAAGAATTCTATAATTAGAAGGCGCAGTTGTGAAGTACTCTACTTTTAAATCAGGTTACAAAAGTAGAGCATATTTTGAGCCAATTCAAAACTTTCTGGTTTTTCCTTTAATTAGTTCACTACATGCGGTGAATTCAATATCATAGACTCATTGTTGAGTAGATTATTATAATTAAAGAACAAATCAATCCACCTAAATCTCTAAAATGATATCACTCAAATCAACTTAATGTAATACTTGTGTTATAAATAATACTAATTGTATGAAACTTTCTATAATAATACTAGAACTTGTATTTTTTTATTGTGGGCAAGGTAAAAGATCTACTATTAAATATACATGGGCTGTTATCTTAAGTTTTATTTTGCATAAATTAAAATAAGCCCAACTTATTTGAAACGTTGTCCTTCTCTCTTGGATTATGATGGTTACTTTGTTGAAGTTAACAATAAATATTGAGCATTTTCAACATCTGATTATATAAGCGTGCTGGAGAGACAAATACAAAATAGTATTAAATTAACCTTCATCACAGCATCACATAAGATATCTACTAATTTAAATAGTGCCATTTCTTGCAAAAGACATAAACCTGAATTTATTCTCCATTTGAGATCACAGTTCATTTGTTCTACAAGTTATTCTGAAATTGAAACTGTTGAAAATGAAAATTGTAAATTAAAATTTAGATTTACAAATAGTCAGTCATGTGCACCTTATATATCTGCATATGTAGAATCTATAAAGAGTGCCGAAAACTGTAACACTGACCAAACAACATGCGAAACTTTAGATATTATGATTAAGGCCATCATTCCTCCTTTAGCAGATGCATTCTTTTTGGAAGAAGTCTAGTGGAAACAATGGCCTATATATGTACGCTGTAGTTGATAATTTAGAATAAGTTATGATTTATTCTTTCTGAGATTTACTACAAAGGAGTCAGATGTATATTTTCCTGCATCTTTTTTGGTGGAATTTCAGTGGAATCTCACCTGCTTATTGTACTTAATGAAATGAATGCTCATGATATTATAACATCTATAAATAATTCCCCTTAATTATTGGCTGCCTATTATCACCTAATGGGCATATCCTTATTTAATTCGTTTAGTAAAATTTTAATTTTGTGAATACGGTATATTTTATGCTAAGGGCAGTAGTGCATACATTTCTTGAAATTCTACCAGAATTCTAAACTATTAATTTAAGTTAGCGAAACTCCTTAGATAAAAAAATTAGAATTATCCAAATTAATATATTATAGAATAGATGGATATTAACTGCATTCAATTATCAACTTCAAAACCAAAGGATTTATTATTTACAACTGAAAATTTGGAGGTTTAAGTTTTCATTTTCATATTTTTAAGTTATTTAAAGGTTTCATGCAAATACATTATCACTACTCCAAGATGCTAAAATATTAAGAAAATCTCTGTTCCTCCTTTTTCAGAAGGAATAAAAATGAATTTAAATATCCTCCTCTGATTTGAATTTATTGATCTAAATTTCAATTTCTGAGGTGAAATTATATTAAAATTTTAGGTTAGTATAATAAATTATAAAAGTTGTATATTTCTGAATTACAAATTCTTCGAATTTAGGAGAATAATTCCTCAGATGATACCAGAAGCTATAAAGTTATTCCAAAGAACCTATAGTCTGGCTTTAATATAGATAATTGGTAGAGCCTTATTTAATTTCATTTTCTAATTTAGAATATATTAATTTTGGATTAAAATTTAGTTCCTAATTAGTAAGAAAAATCTTACTCAAATAAGAATTTTTTAGTAGTTTATTTATTAAACTATGAACATAATTACCAAGTTTAGTTTCATAATGTCTATGAATGCATATAAATATATAGTAATTAACTCTTCACACATCTTCTTTTATTATATTTCCATCTTTTTATCAGGCAGTTCATTATAAGGAGAGATTTATTTAGAAAAGCAATAGAAATTCAATTCTAATAATAAGCTTTTACTAATTATTGCAATCTAATTGAAAAAAATTTATTATTTTTGAAAAATTATTTAAAGATGAACAATGAGAAGAAATTCTGTTGGTGAAAAAAGTAGAATGAAAAGAAACTACAAAGTGGCAGGGAAAGAAGTAACTTAAAATAAATAAATTCTAAATTAGACTGAGATTAAACTAGAAATAAGGTAAAATCCTATATTGAGTTTGGCAGAGAGGAAAAGTAATCAAATATAGAAAAGAAGTCAATATTTAAATGTGTCGCCTGAGAAAATTAAAGTTAATAACATAAAGTTGAATTCCTTAGAAATGTTCATTAATATATTAGTATTCTTTATTGTAACATCACCATAAGAGGATATCACCAAATTATTAACATATGCGAGGATTTTTGCTACTCAAAACAATAGTTTTAGCTTATTTTTAG